TCATTAAAATACATTGATACTATCATTATTGAATTATATCTTATTCTTCTTTTTCTATTTATTCTTTTATTGTTTTTAATATTGTATAGTATTCTTTGATATTTATTATCATTTCTCTTCTTCATTCCCTTCTTTTTCTATCATTTCTATTATTGTTTTAATATATGTTTCTTCGTTGATTTCTTTATATTCAAATCTTTTTTGTGTTTTCTTAATATTATTGAATACCATTGATAATTTACTTTCTGGTTTAATCATCATTTCTACTCCTTTAATATTTTCTTTTCTAATTTTCACATTCTTCTTATCATTGGAAATGATTTCTTCAATTATTTTCTTTTCTTCTTCTTTTAAATATTTCATTCTATCAATTCTTTCATATTTATTTACATTATATAAATACATATTCATTTCATCATATTCAATATCAATCATCATTGTTATTGTTTTACTTTTCATCTTTTATTTATTTTTAAGTTCATTTAACTGTAACTTAAATTTATAATTCGAAAACATTGTTATTTGACTTTACTTTTAGTCTTTTCAAGTTAATTTAATTAGATAATACATAACATCAATACACAAATGTAACAATATCATTTATATTGATATAATCATATGTTCTATTTTTATTATCTTCAATAAATAAATTAAAATATTTTATTTCTACCACACTATCGTTGTATATCATTGTTATTATTTTTCAATTTCATTTATTTCATTCAAATAATCTTTATCATTTATTTTATTCATTAATATGTTCTCTTATTATTTATTGTATTTTTAATTACTATTTTTATTAAATAGCGTTTGTTCATTTTCTTTTCATTTAATTGTTATTCTTTGATTCTTTATTGTTTTGTTCATATTATTTCATTGTCATTATAAATTTAAATCTAATTACTCTATTTCAATTAAAATATGTTTTAATTATCATGATGTTAATAAATTATTCAATTGAACAAAATGATAGAAATTGAATAGTTAAATAACATACTAAAATACCAGTTAAATAATTATAATTAACTTTGTTTTACAGTCATTTCAATTATTATTTTAATGTATTATTTCTTATTCTTATAATTCCTTTCTGTTAGTATTTTATATTCATTATTATCATCATTCATTATTTTACTATTACTTTTTCATAACTATTCTTTATTAGAGAGTTATTTAAGTTCAGAGTTACAAATATCAATTAACACATTTTAAACTGAGTTAATATATACTGAATATAAGATATTCAATGATATTTTTGAATGGTTAATTAGATAAAATAAATAAAATGAATATTATTAAATAAAAGATGTTAATTTAGAACAAAGGATACAACAACTTATTTAATTAAATATTAACACTACAATACAATTATCAAACAATAAAATATTATGTTTTTGTGAAAAATAAAAATTTTAAATGATAGAAAAGTATTCAAAAGATTCAATTTAAAATAACTTGTATCCATCATATTCTAATTTATGATATTCAATTTATTTACTTTTAATGTAAATAGTATTTACCAAATAGAATATATAAGGTCTTGTTAAATTGAAGAAAAATGTTCTTGATTAAACAAGTTAATAGATAGTATTAATTATCAACATTTAATTATTAAAATATTAATGAACAATTTGTGTTTCATTTAAATCTATTTCATATTAAAAACTATTTACTCTTCTTAGAAATATTTGTTAGTACATTAGTTTTTAATTTTACTCCTTACTGTTGGTATGCTCTCATTTGAGTTGTTGATTTAGTACCTGTTTTATAATACCTCTTTTTGAATTTCTATAATTTAATTATTTTCTAAAGAATACCAATAAAACCAATATAAAAGTTATAAATTTGAATAACTTAAATAACTTGAAAGAGAAATTGTAGCATTATATATTCTTGAGGAAATAGTAAGTATTAAAAGAATCATGATGTTTATTCAATGAATTAAATATTATAATGATATTTTATAACACAAACCGTCCAATATATATTGAGAAACCAAAAGAAGTTCAATATTTCCATATCAAGAGTTGTCATTATCAACACTTAATATGAGATAATTTAAAGAAGAAATGAGAATGAAAATTAAAATTAAAAAAAAGAACTGAGAAAAAGAAGAAAAGAAAGAAATGGGGTATAATATTGTTGACATTAAAAGATTAATTGCATCTCATCCAACTGGGTTTGAAAAATATGGAGGGTTTTTAGTTTACCTTGTAGTTATATTCCAATTAGGATATTGTTTGTTATACTAAATCTTTTAAAAAAAAAAAAGAAAACAAGAAATCAATGAAATAGTTATATACAAAATTATTGATAAAAAGTATTGCATTATTTTTAATAGATTTAGTACCATCACAACGTATATCATTAGAACTAAATTTCTTGTTGAATTAATTATGGTTATTGGTCAATGTTCACCAGAGATAATAATGATCATTCTTGGTATTATATTTAATACATCATATTCAATTGCAGTATGTTGTGTTATTGGAAGTTCATTTTGTGCAACAATTATTGGAAGTAGTTTAGCATCACTCAATTCATATAATCCAATTCAAATTACACCATTTTCATATCAAAGGAATTCAGTCATCATACTCTTTAATGTATTACTGTATGAATTATTTACTGAATCAATTAACAAAAATGGAAATTCAAGAATTGGAACATTATTATTAGTTGTTTCATTAGGTATTTTTATTATTTATTATCTTTTTAATCAAATCATTGAAAGAGTGACAAATAAAAATATTCAAAACATCAAAGAATTTGAACATAAAGAAGAAAATGATACAATGGATATAATAAATGATGAAGAAATGATTAAAGGAGGATTAGTTCTTGTTAAGAATATTAATTATAGTGAAACATATTATACAACGTCACAATGGAAAGAATTATGGGTTGATTTATATTATGATGAAATTGTTATTAGAAGTGATAAAACAGCAGGATCAAAAGAAATCATTAAAATTCCTATAAGAAGTATTAAAGAATGTGATATTAATTTATTAGATAAAACAATATTTGTAATTAAAACATTTAATAAAAAAGAAATTGGAATGAGAAGTTTACAAAGATATGAATGGGTAAAAAATATCCAAAAATTAATTAATAGAAATGGAAAAAATCAAATTGATAATAATAAACAAAGAGTACAATTAAAAGAAATATTAAAATATGATAAATTTGAAAAAAATGAAGAAAGAACAATACTTAAAAATATTATTTTCTTTTTTCCTAATTTAATTGTTGATTGGACAATCCCTATATTTCAATTTCCATTAAGTGGAATTATTACATTTATTATTGGAGGAATTTATATTATTATTAGTGATTTTATCATACTTATATTAATTATTAGAATTAGTACAGTTACTGGAATCTCAGAAGATTCAATTGGAATTGGAATTAATGGAATATTTGGAATAGGAATGAGATTTATTATTAATTCATGGAATGGTGGATTTAAAGGAATGGGAAGTGTTGTTATTGAAAATGGATATTCACAAGCAATATTTATGATGAGTTGTATTGTTACAATTCCATGGATTATTTTTTATTTTATCATTGAAAAACAATATGAATATACTATCAATTTTAATCAAACATCAATTGATATTATTCTTTTTGGAATGATCATATTAATTTCTTTATATTTACTTATTTCAATTTTAAGTTCAAAAGTAATTATCAAAAGAAATTATAGCTTTATTGTTATTTTTGTTTATTTAGCATTAGTCATATCATCAATAATAATCTCATCTTATTATCATTCTTAATTCATTCATTCTTTTTATAGTGTACTTTATATTCTTTTGTTTTAATTAAGTAATCTTATTTTTTTCTATTATTATTGTTATATAAATCAATTTATAGAAAAAAACTCTAAAATTCAATAAAGTAAGTTTCATTATGATAATCTTCCTCATTCTATTGGTCTGCACTACTTTTGGATATGAACCATTTTTTGAAGAAATTAATTGTCAAGAATTTAATAAAAATTGTAGAGAGTGTGTACGATATGTTCAAAACTTTAAAGATAACATTCGAGGATGTCAATGGTGTGATATGCCAAATTACTTTGATTCATATTGTTTTAATCCAAACACTACTATTTGTAAAGGTAAAATACAAGAAATATGTCAATTAGATCCATTAATAATGTCAGTTGTTAGTGTGTTATGTTTACTTCCATTATTAATAGTTATATTATTAATAGTCTTACCATCCCTTATTTCTTGTATTAAAAAACGTCAAACAAAACAAGATTAACTTCTCTTTTTATATATTTTCTTCCAAAATAAAAAACTTTTCTTATTTACTTTCCTTTAAATTGTTATTCAATTATTACTTAAATGACTTATTTGGATGATTTGTTCTTTATATTTCATAATAACGAATGGATAAAAATGAGTCCCTTTTACCTTTACATTGATTTGTTCTTCATCATTGAGTTGAATTTGAACATTTTGATTGTCAGCATCAAAAGTAAACCAAATATCATCTTCTTCTTTAATAGAATTAAATGACATTTGTTGTTCATTTCTTTGAAGTCCATTAGAAACAATATACCCACCTTTTATTGGAAGATATACTCCACTTCCAAAAACATCATTTTTATCAGTACAACATCCAATAATAATACAGTAACCGTATGGGTATTCTCCAATAGATTCAACAGTAAAACATACTTTAGTAATTTCTTTATCAATAATAAGAATTGACTTGTTTTTGTCGTTTTGGGTTTTTTGAACAGAAACGCCATCATCTATTATTTCATATGTAAATTCTCCACTAATAAAAATATCACTTTCACTGATGATAATTGGACGTTTAAATGAATTAAGTCCTTTCCAATTTAAACCAAAATATTGAAATAGTTGTATAACTTGATTTTTTTCTTCTTCTTTAAATTCAGATATTTCTTCACCTCGAAGATATTCAGTAACAAATCCAAATCCTTTTCCACTTAAATTAATAACATTAACTTCTTTACATTCTTTTAATAACTCCTCAGCATATTTCTTTGGAATTTTATATGAACAATCATTAAATTGAATTGTTACTATATCTTTAATAGAATATTTTTGTTTATTTAATTTAGTATTTCTTTGATTAAGACTTAAAAAGAGGTTGTGGTTATAAAGTTCATAAGCTCCAAGTATTTTAATTTCTTCTTTAATTGTTTGGTCTGATAACGTTTTTGGTTTGAATAACATTTCTTTTATTTGGGTTGATACTTCATCAATTTTATTTTCTATTTCTTGGTTCCATTCATCGAAATGTCTTTTTTGTTCTTCTAACTGATTACCAGTAGTATTAATAATCATTGTAGCTTGTTCAATTATGTTCATTGTAAATAGTAGATGGAACTTTAAGATGATTTAAGATTAAAGAAAATATAAAAAGTTTAATGAAAATTTAATTAATTATTATGAGGTTTAATAAAATAACACAACTTAATCATTTATTGGAAATTGAGTTATTATATCATCAGTTAATTTCATTTCATTACATGTTCTACAAATTCCTTTTTCACAATCATTTAAAAATGGTTGGTAAGGTTTTAAACAATATCTACAATGAGGATTATTTGGATCTTCTTCAATTCTTTGGGCAGTTGAAATAATAGTATTTGGAGTTTGGTCAAATTCTATCGATAAATCATCAACAAATTGTTGTGCCCTCATTTCTAACGTTTCGTTAAGAGAACGTGGTATTTTATTAGAACAATTCAAATAATCAACTACTTCTTTTTCAGTAAAATCAACTGGTCTTAATACAATGAGATCTTTATAATAATATTCATATTTACCAATTGAAGGAACCGTTTTTACATCACCTTCAATAACTGCAGCTAAAATTCTTCCAGCTTTTAATGTCATATTTGACCCATCTAACCAAACGTGTTTTCTTTGTTTATTTGATTTACTTTTAAAAATTATATATCTTTCATATAAATGATATGGAAGGTTTCCTAATTCATTTTGATCTATACAACAAATTTCACAATTATATAATGGTACTTTTCTTTGTTTATCTTCTTCAATAAACATTTTTAATAATTTAATTGTATATTCATATGTTAATGTATGATCATTAATAATATAAAATGTTATTTGATCATTACGTTTTAATCCTCTATTTAAATAATATTTAAATTTCTTATAATGTAATATTTCAAAACATCCTCGACAAATATATCCCGTTCTAAATGGCTCTAATGAAATGTCTTTACGATGACAGTCTTTACATTCAATTTTTGTATTTTGTTGCATTGTATTTAAAAACTTTTGTTTTGAAAAAAGGGTTTTTTATTTCAAATTTTATTTGAATTCAAACTTCAAATAAAAACTTTTTGTTCTTTCTTTAATTGAGTCTTTTTGTTATTCAAAACTTTTAATTCTTATTTTTATCTAATGAATACTAAAGAAACTAAAAAACAGGAATTACTCTTTGAAATGGAATATCAAAGTTATATGGTTCTTTTTAATCAAAAATGGGACTCCTTAAAATACTCTCCTAGTTCAATTCATCCAATTAAATCTTCTTCTCCTTCAAAACATAAATTGCAATAAAATTATTTTTTCTTTTAATCTCAATAATCTGTTTCAAAGTTTTTCATTTAATTAAATCTATTGTAAATTTATCAATTTTTAGTTCTCAATGATTAAAAAGAAATATTGCTTTTTCTTTTCCTTTTTTTAAAGAAGAGAAAAAACTATGAAAGTAGCTTTTTAGTTTTGTTTATTTTCTTATCAGTCTTGAACTCTAATGCATTATCTCGTTACCTCCAAAAAAATTTTCTAACTGGAGCTTCTTCATTTCCTAAACACCCTCAGAGAACTCCTTTCTTCGATAAAACAGCCTCTAAAAGCTTTGTCAATGCCTCCTTTACCTAATCCTAATTCTCTACTCAAACCAAAGAAATACCATCCTCTCAAAACCAACAACCAACATACCAAAACTCGAAGTCTCAAACACTTTAAAACAATATTTATCAAGTCCTCAAAGATCTATTACTTCACCAACCAAACCTACAGACGGTCACAATGAAACTGTTGCAGAGTATTTTATCCAAAAACAAACATCAAAGTCACATGTAATACTCAAAAACAAAGAGCTTCTGTGGTCCCAAACCACCACTAAATGGTTTATCCCTAAAACAATGTACTTCTGCATTAGTCAAGGTCGTTTTAAAAAAGTCGGTAGTGACTAATAATTTTTTTATAAAAACAACTTAGGTATTTCCTCATCAGTTTAATGGAGATTCTTTTATAGTTAACACTTCTCTATCTACTAATTATTCATTAGATATAATAACACCAAATAATAATTCTACTTCTCCAAGAGTAAGCGATTTTCATGCCAAGACCAAAAAGTGGTTGAACTGACAATTGTCCAGGACATGGACAGAACAAAGAAGAAACACTACAAGAAGATAAGGAAGAGTTGAAATATTCAAAAAGAATGATTGGTATTTTCTCAAAATTCTCTAAATCAAGTGACTTATTAAGTGCACCAACAAAAGACGAAAAGAAAAAAGTCAAAAGAAAATGTGCTAAGAAGTCTGGGCATGAGATACAATCACCCCCTATGGATATTGTTATTAAACCGAATGGTTTTTTAAAAAGGTATGAAACATATATAATTGGTGATGACGTTGAATCAAAAATTCTGTTTATTCCTAAAAATCCTATTGGAGAAAAAGTTAATGGAAGTAAATTATAAACGATATTGCTGAATTAAAATTTACAGAGTTTATGTTTTGTGTTCAATTATAAATATTCAAAACATAGTTTGAAGATGTTATTAAAAAAGAAATTCCGTTATTGAAATATCAAAAAGACTTATCATCTGGTCCATTGAATTCATTAGTAGTTTCTATCAGTAATATGTATTTCGAATTAGAATTGTTATACTCGAATTACTTGACAATAATATTAATATGGAAAATAAAATAGTTTTAGATATTATATTGAAACACTATGCTTTTGTTACTGGAGTCCAACTTGGTTTAATCAATCTTTCAAATTCATTTCTTCCATTTGTTGCTCATCATACTTTATTAGTAACAGTCATTGATGATTTTATTAAAGATAGTAAACAATTTAACAAATTAGTTACAACTTAAATTAATTCATGTACTGATAAAAACATTAAACAATTTACTGATTTACATTTACTCCAACAGTGAATATTTAGGTATAACTCATTACTTTCTAGTATATTCAAAGAAATTAAAAATAAGAATACAAAGCAACAAAATATTTAAATGAGATAATTATTTGTTATAACGAAATGAATGTTAATACTAACGAGCTTATTTTTAAGTCTAAATATTTTTATTTAAAAAATATGAATATTTAGATCAAATACACTAATCAAACAAACCATTCTTATGGCAAATATTATTGATACTTATTTTGATTCTCTAGAACATTTTGTTTCATATTGTTAAGGATATAAAGGAACGATTATTGGAAATTATAAAAATGAACTATTATGTTTTATATGGAATGTTAAGAAAAGATATAAAAAGGTCTTCATTTGAGTTTTATCCAATTGAGACATTATTCAACAGAAAGTAGTATTTATTTTTCTGATGTTAAAAAGGAAAAATTTCAAATTATCAATAACTTCAATAGAACAATGAAACCAATTCAATTTTAATCTTAGTTTATTGTATGATTATTTCATCAATTCATATACAAAGAATTAAGTAATGTTTTTTTAATCAAATTCTTGTTTATTCTTTTGGTTTTAACTTCTCTTTAATTGCTGCATTTTATAAATATATTAAATTTCAATTGAATTTGGGCAATTTTCTTTTATTTTCTATTAACTGAACTTAAAAAATATTACTGATACTTCAAATCTATGGAGTTGTGTGAACTCATTCTTACTGACAGTGAACGGGTTAAAAATGAGTTAATAAAAAATGGTCTAACTCAGTTAGTTGGAACTATTTGGTTTGATAAAATGATACATATTTGTTGTGAAAACGAGTTTGTTTTTTTTTTAGTAGAATAATAAAAAGGATAAAAGCAATTAAAAAGAGACAATGGCTTAATGAATTAGTTACAAAGAGATATTAGAACTGTTAATTAACTTTGAACCAAAGAAAGTATCTTGCCTTGATGTTGATGGTAGAACTCCATTAATGAATGCAGTTCTTAATAAAAGTTTGAACGTTGCATTATTGTTATTGACTAATGGAGATTGTTGTTTAGGAACTATTGATTCAAGTGGAAATACATTACTCCATTATATATCTTACTCACCATTTACTGATATGATACTGTTATTATGTAAAAAATTGATTGAAGAATATCCGGTATTTATTAATATGAAAAATTTGAAAGGAGAAACTCCTCTTCATATTTCAGTCAAGATGGGAAATATTGAGTTTGTCGATTTTCTTCTTTATAATGGTGCTAGAGTAGAGGATAAAACTTTTGATGGTAAAAGTGTTATGGAATATGCTTTTTTTGCTAAAAAGAATTCAGGAAATATTATACAAAAGTTACAGAATTATCAAGACTTAATAAATTATAAAGAAAATAAAGAACAAAAAGAAAATAACTTTGAAAAATATAACGTTGTTATCCATAAAACAAAAACTCCATTATTTAACTTTACTTTGTTTAAAACCAAAGAACAGCTAAGAAAAGGATATGAAAATGACTTTAAAGTTTTACTTGATTCATTTCATCTAAACGAAAAAATGACAATTCCTCTTGACTCATTTAACAGAAAGAAAAAGTTTAGAATGATTTCTATTGATGGTGGAGGAAGTAAATGTATTTTACAGGCTCTAATACTTGCACGGTTAGTTACTAAATTTCCAAGATTATTAGAAGAAGTTAATTTGTTTTGTGGAGTATCAGCATCAAGTTTCATTTGTGCTGACTTAGCTCTTGGGATAGAACCACAAGACGTTGCAAAGATTATGATAGAAATGACAAAACATATGTTTGAAAAGAAATCACGAGGATATACAGAATCCTTATATTCAAACACATATATTATTGATGTTGCTCATATAACTTATGGAGAAAAGAAATTAACTGATCTTAAACGAAATATTCTAATAAACGCTTTTCAATTTGATTCTGGAGAAAATAATCCAAATAGATGTTGTAAAGCTTGTGTATTCAATAATTTTATTTCAGGACATGACTGTAAAATTGCAGATGCATGTTTACGATCTTCTGCTGCTGTTGGTTATTATCCACCATATCAAGGATATGCTGATGGAGGAATCTTTGAAAATAATCCATGTGTTTGTGCCTTTCCATATGTATTTGGTGATAAAGGATTTAAAGCTGATATCCAAAATACTGTTTGCCTTTCTATTTCATCTGGAAGACCACCAATTAATTATATGGATAGAAATAAATATACTGATGTTGGAATGTTTCAGCTATTACCAATTACAATGGATGGATTCTTTTGGAGTAGAAAATCGATGGCAGATGATGTTGCAAAAGGTTTTTTAGGAGAACGTTATATGAGATTTGATCCAGTATTACCAGACAATCTTGATTTAGATTGTAATGATCAAATTGATAAGATAATTGAAATTGGAAATACTGTTGATATTACCTCAATAGAAGATTGGATTAAAAAGTATTGGCTTTGAAACAATAATAAATTAATTAAATATTGACTCACACTGACTCTATATTTGTTGGTAGTGTTTCTTCTTGTTGAACCTCAGTTTTTAATTCACCTTCTGGTTCAAAACCTTCATCTAAAATGAGAGGGGTATTATAGTATTGTTGGTATTCAGTCACTAAATCAATAAGATCAGCTTCTGCTTCTTCAAACTCACTCTCTTCCATTCCTTCTTCTGTATACAAATAGATAAATGCTTTCTTTCTTAGCATAGAAACAAATTGTTTATTAATTCTTTTAAACATATCAGATATAGCTGTTGAATTAGATATCAAAGTACCTGACAAATTCAACCCTTTAGGTGGAACATCACAGACTGCTAATTGCATATTATTTGGAATCCATGGAATGAATAAATCTGGGTTTTTTTCTCTTACTCTAAATAATTGTTCTTCAACGTCATGAGTTGAAACTTTCCCTCTCATAATACAAGATGTAGTAAAATATTTTCCAGACTGAGGATCAAAGTCAACAAGTGTATTTTTCTTTTCGAATAATTGTTGAATTATTTCTTGTACACTTAAACTTTCGTATTCCATGGAAAGAGCACTTGATACTGGAGCAATAGATGATGAAAAAAAGTGAAGTCTTGGATATGGATTCATATTGACTGCAAGTTTCCTCAAGTCTTGGTTTAGTTGACCTGGAAATCTCAATGAGCAAGTAATTCCAGACATTACGGAAGAGATTAATGTGTTGAGAGATTCATATGATGGTTTTGATTCTTTCATAACATCTGAAGCAATTTTATATAACGCTTCATTATCAAAACAAAAAGTGATAGCAGCTGATTCAAGTAATTTATGAATACTTAATACACAGTTATAAGGCTCTACAACAGTTTCACTAACAGTAGGTGATGGAACAACAGAGTAAGTAGAAATAATTTTATCATAAAATTCTTCTTTTAATTTACTGAGTATTAACGTTCCAAGTCCTGACCCAGTTCCTCCTCCAAGTGAATGAGTTACTTGAAACCCTTGAAGGCATTCACATGCCTCAACTTCTTTTCTAACATTTTCCATCACTTTTTCACATAAACTACTTCCTTCACTATAATGACCCTTTCCCCAATTGTTTCCTGCTCCTCCATTACCAAAGATAAAAGAATCTGGTTTAAATAAATGACCCATTTTACCAACTTTCACTGCATCAAGAGTCCCTGGTTCTAAATCAACATTGATCGATCGTGGGACATATCTTTTTGTTGAACTCTCGTTAAAATAAACGTTCAACCGTTGTTGTTGAAGTTTATTTCCTTGAAACACTCCATCTGAAGACAATCCATGTTCTTGACTGATAAGATCCCAAAACTTTTCTCCAACTTGATTCCCGCATTGTCCTATTTGAAGGCTAATAATTTCACGCATAAGAATTGTATCAGTATTAGTCCATAGATATTTAGAGTTGTGATTGTAACTTTCGTAGTCATGTAATCACTTTCTGCATCACTTAGAATGAGAATTAAAAAAAATAAATATAAAAATCAAAGAAAATAATGTTTCTGAATTTTGTATTTCATTTTGGTTTTGTCATTCTCTGTTTATTTTTGTTTGGAGATAACAAATCCATAAAAGTTATAAAAAAAGAAGTATGTAATTAAATACCACTTCAAATTTAACACAAAATGAATAATAAATAAATATCTACAAAGAGAACAAAAATTATTATGTTTAAAAATGATAATAACTAAAATAACATATTTTATTACAGGTGTCTTTCTTAATAATTTCTGGTAAGTATTTAATTTTTTCAATAAATCCAAAAGGAGTTACACTTTAAAATAAAAAAATAAAGAGATATGAATGGATAGAATTAATAATAAAGTGTTAAAACAGAATACTATTGATTGTAAATTACCATTTTGAATTTTTAAATAAATGTTTATTTACTGGCTTTATTTTATTTAATTCTCTGAAAACATAAAATAATAATTGAAATACTTATGTTTCTATAATTTCTGTTAAATTCTTAAATTAAAACAACTTATCTATGACTGGATATAATATTACTCTTTGAAATTTCAGAAAACTGATAGTTCACTTTGGCTACAAAAAAAAGAAATAAGAGAAAAATGAAGAGAAAGAATGATATAAAAGAAAAAAAGTGAAATTAGGAAGTAGAAGATGATGAAAAGAATAAAAGTAGAATGTTGAGAATATAAAATGAAAGAAGATAAAAAAGAATAATTCAAAATGAGATAATAAAAGATGAAAAGAATGATGAAATAATGGATGTATTTTTTATTATAGAAATTAGAAATATGAAATAAAAAAGTGTTTAATTTATTGATGCAATTTATTTATCATTATTTTATTTATGCAATTTATTTTATTCTTTTTTATTTTTATAATTTTTATTTATATATATTATTTATTATCTTTTTTTCTTTTTAATATATTGATTATTTTATTTTATTATTTATTATTCTTTTATTTATTTTTCTCTATTCTTTTATTTGTTAATTTTTATTTTATTTATGAAATATTTCAATATTATAAAATAATTTTATTGTTTAATTATTTAAATGAATTATATTAAAACGAATTTATTTTATATTTTATTGTTTTCTTTTATCTTTATTTTATATTTTAATAATTTCTTTAATATCATCATTTTATATTATTATTATCTTTATTCTTTCATATTTTTATTATTTATTATTATTATTATATTTTTCATTTCTTATTTTATTTTAATTTATTATTAATATTATTTATATTTCTTTTCTTTCTTATTATTATTCTTTATTCTTATTATTTATTTATTTCTTATTTTTCTATTTTATTTATTTTCATTTTATTCTTATTTTCATTTCTTGTTTTCTTGTTTTGATTATTTTGATTTGATTTAATTTTAATTTTTATTATTATTATATTTTTGATTATTAATATTTATTTATCATTTATTTATTATTTGTTTTTATTATTATCATTTGATTTATATTTATTATTTATTTCTTTTATTATCTTTCTTTTCTTTATTCTTTATTCTTTATATTATATTCTTATTTCTTATTATTTATTTTTGATTTTAAATGATTGTTTCAATATTCATCATTTTATTTATATCTATTATATTAATATTATATCATTAAATTCTATCATTAAATATTGAATAATCAATATGATATAACAAAATAATTTAATTAATATATCATTATAAAATGAAATG